GATGGCGGCACTTGTTTTCCGGACACCGTGACTTGCCCGGAGAAAAATGCCGCCCAGTGGTCGAGAATCGAACCCGCGACTGCCAGCGCCGCAGCCGACGTCCCACACAATACACGTTTTATAGCTGTTTCAATTTCATTCAACTCATAAGAGCCGGTAGGTATTATATAGCTATCGCTATTCATATTGTTATCATTACTATATGTGAAGCATATTTTATTACATTTTTCGTTTACGTTAGGAATAGAATTATTCGTTTGAAAACCTAACAGACAGATTTTTGCATTTTTACTGACTTCTATCGGTGGAAAAAAGTCTCATGACAATTCGCTCGAGTTACCGGTTAACGTTATAGTGTACATGATAAAAATTTTAAGCACAGAAGACCACAGTTTGTTGCGTTATATTTCTGATGTCTCTCGTAGTTATATTCGATATTGCAACCGTTGAAATATTTCTGTAATTCTAGCGGTGGCGTTAAATTTCCATAACTATCATAATATTTAACTTTTTTTCCGATTTTCTTATACGCTACCCAATGAGTACCTGTTCCGTTTTCGATGTCTAAATTAACTACAGCTGACTCTTGATGTTTTGCTAGTCGAGGCAACTTGTCTCTAGCAAATACACCGATGAAATGAGGAATTTTCAACATGTCAGCATATTTTATAATCTCATAATCGTACAACGCTCTATCGGGTAACGTAGAAATTAGTTTTTTGACCTTGATTTCTTAACTGATCCGCCCTTGTATGGTGCTAGGTATAAACCTTTACCTTTTACGGTTTTATAAGAACTACCCTTGTGAAGAGTAAGATATAATCCTTTGCCTAAATGAATAGAAGTGTTTTTTCCAGAATTTAATTCTTTCACGACTTTTACTATATTACCTACTCCACCGGTAAGCGCGCCTAATGCTGATAAACCAGCAAAAATAGGAATTAAAGGTAGAATACCGCCGTTTTTCGGTATTGGTATAATTCTTGGTGTTTTAGTTTTTTTGTTTTTATTTTTATTTTTTTTTTAGTTTTTTTCGCAGCTGACAGACATGTTCTTACTAATTTTCTAATATTATTTTCGTTCATTTTATTTTTGATGGATTTTTTAGCAGCCAAAACCATTTTTTGTCCTGTAAACTTTAACATCGCGTCAAAGCTTAAGCCTGGGGCGGTAAAATAGTGTGCGGCATCCAGATTGTACGCCCTCATACAGACATCACGAAAATTTTCAAAGACGTCCGCCAACAATAAAACGTCGATTTTTAAATATAAATCCGAATATTCTCCTAATGTTGTACAGCCGAAGTGGTCCTAGACCTCCTTCGCGTGATCTAACTCCTTCTCCTTAATCCCGGTCTCTGTTAACGTACTGTAAAAATCTCACTATTAGATGAGCGTCATTGTTGGAAAGGTTATGGAAATAGACGGGGACAAATTTAGTTTGTTGTAACTCCAAGTTACACCTAGAGCACAAAGGTCTGCCTAAATTTGCCCGTCAGATGATCGCGATCTCTAACCCTATCGCCCCCGGCTAAACTGCATTTACATAAATTACACTCTATATATTCTTGAAGTGTTTTTTCTTCACCCTCAGTCATTTTTATCGGAATATTCGTCTTCATCAATTCTTCAATTTTCGGGGCCACCTCAACTACCGCCTCTACAAAATGTTTCACCAAATCCTTATGATTCTTATCACCTCTGTATATTACCGTCTCCGTCGGTATCTCATACTCTTCCAATAATTCCGTCGGTAGGTCGTCGCTTGCCTTCACCAAAAATCCGTAACTCATCGCCTCGTGTGTATGTATAACAGTAGTGTTCCCCCCTTTTTTCTCCTCCGTCTTCACCAACAATGATTCAAAATCCGCGTTGATAACAACCGGGGGCCGCTGTGTCTTCTTCCACGCCTTAAACTCTAGACAATCACCCTCCTTCGGCATCTCCGGTAATATAGGCTTGTGCGCCCCGCAAATCAATTTGTGTTGATTCAACGCCCCCTTGTCCATTCAACTTGTATTTATAACGCCGATCATCGAACGACGTAAAGCACCTCTAACAGAAAATAACTCTTTCGGTGTGTCTTGTTTTTTGTGCACGTATGAGCCGGGAAAAATTAAAGATGTATACGTAATGTGCATTGTTTTCGTCTGTCACCAACAGCAGGTCGAAGTGGTCTGATTTCTCCTCATCTTTTTCACGTAGCGGGTACACCTCGTATGTAGGAAATTTCCTGGGTGGTTGAAACTTTTTCTCTACTCCATAGAAGTTAATTTACACGTTGATATTATTTTTTTCGAATTTATTTATATCGGACATAGGTGTAGGGAACGAAATACCGTCAAAATTATATTTCCCCTCGTGTTTGCGGTAATTTTCTCCGATACGATATACCACTGAACCTGTCACATGCTTCGCCAGAATTGCCCACTTAAAACACTCCTGATCTACATTTTGCGGATTTATTGTCCCCCGTTTCCTATCAATAAATTCCGGTAATTGTATGTACGATGATCCACCCATTGGTGTATATTTATACACCCCCAACAATAATCCGTCTATCGACTCCAATGTAAATCCACTCCCCCTCCCAATGTAGTCATCTTTCTCCTTCACCAACTTGATATACGCCCTCTCTACAATCGTTCTAATATCACTATCCGGATAAATTTCTACCGCCGATGTTTTGAATGCCCTGTTCTCCGACGAATTGGGGACGTTCGGACGATTGTACGTAGCCTCGAGTTTCTAATTAAATTTAATTGCGTGTAGTAGCACGTGGGTTTTTAATAAATTTACTAGCTCGGGTATAAGAGGGCGGAGAAAGTCTGAATAAATTTTTGTTTTGCTGATATTTTTAGGATAGTACCACACGATCTTCCTATTTGCAGACGATAAAATTTCAATAAACCCTGGGAGCTTCACCATATCCATCCGCGTCTTTTTTGCCCTAGCAGAAGAGGTGGTATTGGCAGTCGAAACACGTTTCCCGTTAACGGCAACGGTGTAAGATTCTTTAAAAAAATAAAAACCTAATATTAATATCTAATGAAATGTGGTATCGAATCTATTAGAAATCTAATTAACCTCACGACTGATAATTAAAATCTAATGAAACAACTATTTAAAAAATAAAATCTTTTAAACTTATAAATAAAAATAATTTAACTGTACGTATTTCAAAAATCTAATTCTGATAAATAAAACTAACCTGTATCCTCAAATTCGTCCATGGCTTCCATACACATTTCGTCTTCGGTTAACAAGTTCGAGCCACCGGCCGGGACATCAGGAACAAATATTTGCGGTGCAATCTGGACTTGAGCTGGAGCAAACTGAACGACTCTTTAGTGTGCTGGTTGTGCGATGACCGGTACAGCAGGTATAGGTCTCAAATGAGCCGGAACGTTGACGATACATTAATATAAATTAATATTTTATAAGATATAAATAAAACTTTATATTATTAATACATACCATGAATGTTCTTCATATGCCTTTTAAGATGTGACTTGTATGCGAATGTTGAAGGACATACAGTGCACGGAAAACGTACACCCGTATGTTTTTTTTTGATGTGCAACCAAATTGCATTTCATGGTGAAAACCGAAGGACACTGTTCGCATTGAAACATTTTTTAAATGTTTAAGGTAAAGACGAAATGAAAACTAATATATAATGTTTAAACACTTGAAAAATTAAGCACAGAGAAAAATTAAACACTTAGAAAAATTGTTAATATTTACGTTGAGACTGTGTAAACACGGAGAGAACGATTGCAAAGTGTGAGTAAGGGTATGGGTGTCTGGAACAGACTATGTCTTGGCGGACAACGGAGCGAGTGTCCAGAAATCTGAGCATTTGTGGTCGGAGTAGCATTTCAAGCCGTGGGTTACCAAAATATTAATTGGATATTTACTATGATAAATGTATACATCACTAGTTATTACCAATTATGATATGGTGATGTCATATTGATGAGTCAACCACAATCGTAATTTATTTTCAAGTACACTCAAAGAAACACAGAACAATACTAAAATAATAAATACTAATCCAGTCCTAGAAGAAAACGACAAAAACCCGTTATGTAGAACGTAATTACTTTTGTACACAAAAATATCAAACCCAAAATAATAATAATTATGTAATAATATTGTGTGAAATAATAATAATAGGTACGACGCTCGACGTGCGTACGGTACGTGGAGCCATACTGCAGCGCAGCGAGATTAGATTCTATGACGTCACGCTCTAACTTTAAATGACTATAACTCGCTAACCAAAAGCCGTAGACAAGTTTAGTTTGGACTTCTGTTTTTCTTTAATTAAGAATTTTTTTCAAGAATTAGTTGTTTTTTTTTGTTTCATGGTCATTTAAGGTCTTTCGAGGGCTGTCAGGATTTTCAAGCTGGTGTTTAACTATTTTCTTATATAAATTGACAATAATTTTCCTTTGACCAGTGCCGATGAACTAAAAATAAATAAAAATTTAAAATTTAAGAATTTAAAAAATAGTATAAAAAAAAATAAAAAAATAAATAGTAAAAAAAATAGTATAAATACAAACACTTACTTTTCCACATGGATTTTTTTTGGAAGGAGACACAGCTGCGACTTCCATATTGTACTTATTGTTATACGTAAAACTATTAAACAATTGTTAAATAAAAAACGTTAAAAAAGTTAAATAAAACTGTATAAAACACCGGGGTGCGCGAAAAAACAAAAATGTTGTGTATAAAATATCGGAGATGCTATTATAGTTCACGCTGTGGCTGTATACAAACACTGTCACCGTTTTCCGGTCGTCGGCGGCGACGGTGGTGGCAGCAGCGTCGGTGTCGGCGGCCAGCGTTGACGGCGGCCAGCAGTTTGTGAGTTTTAGTGGTGGGAATGCGCGAGAACGGATGAGTTTTGGTCGCCGCCCAATAGTACTCTCTCGTTGGCTCGACTATAGCTGTTTACTATTGCATTATATTTTATACATTTTTTGAAAAATGAAACGAAGTTTGCCATCTCAGTCGTCAATATTTAATTTTTTTCATAATAAAACCAATCAAACTGAATTGGATACAGAATTAATTACTACAGAAGAAGTTCCGTGTGCGTCTACTATTGAAAACGGTGCAATAGAAAGTACTGTAGATTTACCAGAACTTCGAGATATTTGACGGTATGTAGATGTTAGAATAACTGATGATAAATTTAAGTAAGATTTATTAAAAAATCCGTGGATTCCTTCTTCAAATTATAATTTTCCGATAGTGTCAAAAAGAAAATTAAAATTCCAAATTTCTTGGTTAACACGTTTTTCTTGGTTAGTTTATTCAAAACATCTAGAAGGAGCATTATGTAAAGTATGTGTTTTATTTTCCAATGAGTGCACCGGAAAAGGTTCAAATTAAAAAGTGGGTGCTTTAGTAAGTAAACCTTTTATTAAATGGAAAGATGCTTTGGAATGTTTTAAATTACATTCTAATGCAGAATACCATAAATTATCTGTTATACGAGCGGATGAATTTTTAAAAATAATAGATAATAAAAAACCAAACATCTCTATTGCCATCGATTCAGCACATAAAAGCATAGTATTGGAAAATTGTGCTAAACTAGTTCCAATTATTGAAACAATTATTTTTTGTGGTCGTCAGGAAGTGGCATTAAGAGGAGATAATGACAGTGGATCTATTTTTAGTTGCAGTGCTGATAACAATGATGGAAATTTCAGATCGTTGTTAAGAATTAGAGCTCAATCTGGAGATTTAATATTGAAAGACCATTTAGAAAATTCAGCAGCTAATGCTGTTTATATAAGCCCACTTATACAAAACGAGTTAATACATATTTGTGGTGCATCCATCCAGACTCAAATAGTAACCAAAATTAAAAATGCGGGTTTTTTTTTTCTATTTTAGCAGATGAAACTTGCGACATATCACGAATAGAACAAATGTCCTTATGTGTGAAGTATATTGAAGATTGTAGTATTAGGGAAGATTTTTTAACTTTTATTCCTATTTATGACGCATCAGGAAATGGATTAGCCCGTACAATAATGATTGAAATAGAAAAATTAGGTTTAAAAAAGGAAAAGTTAGTTGGTCAAGGCTATGTTGGAGCTTCTTCGATGAGTGGTATATTTAATGGCGTACAAAAAAATATATGCGATATAACACCTCACGCTTTATACGTTCATTGCGCCGCCGATTCGTTAAACCTCGCCATTAGTAAATCATGTAAAATTCCTGAAATAAGAAATTGTATTGGATCTATATCTACAATAACTACATTTTTTCGAAAATCACCAATAAGGTCAGAAGTTCTTAAAAAGTTCATAAAAGACGTAATTCCATGCACACGCCACCAAACACTTTTAAAAATGTGTGAAACTCGTTGTGTTGAACGCCACGACAGCTTGTTACGGTTTAAAGAAATATATTTACCAATAACTAACACATTAAGGGAACTCGAACAGCATCATAATTTAGAAACATCAAAACTTGCATTTCAACTTTCAAAAACTATTACCTCAAGTTCGTTTGTAATTTCATTGTACATTATAGAAAAAATATTTGCTATAACATTGCCTTTATGTAAATCTTTACAACAAATAAATGTAGATTTATCTGAGTGTTATCAATATGTAAATAACTGTATGCAAGTTATTAATTCAATTCATGAAAATAGTGAGGAAGAATTCCACAAATTATTTTTAGATGTCGAAAATGTATTAAGCTTAGTAGATGAAACGGTTAAAATGTCACGATTAATTAGGCAATCTACCTATCGTAACAATATTACAGCAGATTTGCCAGAACAGTATTATAGGAGATCAATTTTTTTGCCATTTTTAGACTACTTCAAAAGTCAATTAATTGAAAGATTTATAAAACTCAATTACATTATTTCTGGGCTGCAAAATTTGATTCCAAGTTTTTTAATTAAATTAAAACCAAGTAGCGATGAGTTTAAAAAATGCATTGACTTTTACAAAAGCTTTTTACCAACTTATAAACTTTTGAATCAGAATTGAAGGTGTGGGTAGAAAAATGGAATTTGGTACCCGATAACGAACTTCCTAAATCTGCAATCGATACTTTAGGCGTCATGTCGAAAGACTTTTAACCAGGGCTTGAAATCGCTCCTGAAGAAATAGGTTCCGGTTTTAAATCTTCAAAATTACCGGTTACCTCACAAAACCGTTTTTTTTTTTTTTTTGTTTTAATACCTACTCTATTTTTTTTCATCAAACTTAACATGTCATTTTTGAAACTATTCATGCATTTTGTTGTGGTATGACTGCAGATAAGAAGATAAGGAAGATAAAAAAAAAAAGATTAAAAACAACAACTACATAAAAGTAGTTATAGGTATCTATATCTATTGTTCTTCTTTAAGATACATAAAAACTTAAAAATATAAAATAAATGATAACAGTTTTATAATTATGAAAAAAATTAAAATACAAAACATTTTATCAAGTAAACAAGTTCAAACTTAGTACTTGAAAAACTCCAAACAATAAACAAAAAAAATAGTCTGTGTAGTCTATACTCTATAGTGTATCACTGTATACTAAAAATATTAAACATTAAACATAAACATTTAAAATACATATTAAATTTCCAAACCCATCTTATTCGCTCTTATAATCATAATTTCGTTCAGCAAATCAGATGATAATGATGAAACAAGACTAAAATAAAATAGATTTTATTTTATCATAGATGGTGACAATATTTGGTTATTAACATTTGACTATTATAGTATTATCAGTTAGTAGTTAGTACGTTTTATTTGGTATGGAATATAGCAGCTGGCGGTCGAGTAGGCACGGTAATAGCACTAATAAGTAATAGATGATTACACAGTTTTGTTCAGTATTACTATTATTACGAACTAATGTAACGAACTTATTATTAAATAATGAATATCAAAACAGTCCCTGATTATAAGTTATAACGTACCTATTACCCTAGTACTTGGTACAATAATATCGTACATGCAAGAGTTATATACTATTATATATATATGTATCAGCCCGCATTCGTCGATGTTTCTACCATTCGTATCAGTATTCAGTACCTATATTTTAGGTTACCCGGTGATAACCGCTTCTCAAAATTGAAACTCGAGAACCGGGAAGCGGATACCAGTCCAAAAAGTACTCATGGTAACCGGTTACCTGGTCAAGCCCTGCTTTTAACCAAACATTTGGTGTTTAATATCTATACTTGCAACACTCCCGGTGTCCACTTCATCTGCAGAACGTTCTTTTTCAACTTTAAGACGATTAAATAGGTTTTTACCTATTTGAGGAATAGCTGTAGTGAAGATCGTCTAACAGTTTTAGCTTTATTGTCAGTCCACCGAGGTATCCAAATAGATATTGAAGAAATAATCAATACATTTTCCAGAATGCCACGTAAAGTTGACTTCGTTTTATGAATTAAAATTGTAGGTATTCAACCATTTTTTTAAATTATTTATATTTTGTATACATTATTATATTATGTTTTGTAGTGCATAATATTATCTATCAAATTATAATATAATTATGTATTTTTAGTTCATGTATGATCGATAGTGAATACAGGTAGACAAACAGAGACCGTCACGATACACGCGCCTTAGATGGGCGGTTCCATTTTCCTCCAAAAACGAGATACCGTTTTCCTCCACTGACCATATACCTCCACAAAAAAAAATGCTTGGTTTCCATTTTCCTCCATATTATTTTTGATACCTAGGTTAACTTACAACTATACTTATATATCAACTTTTACTATGGGCATATTGACCTAAACAGGATACTTCACGTTTTGTTACATAAATTAACATTTTCTTAATGTTACTACTACACAAAGTAGGTATTACTAGACTCTTTACTAAACTCTCCTTTTTTTGTGAATTGTGTAGGTCATCACTTTCTTTACTTTATTTATACAACTAACTTTATTTGTAACACAGTGTAACATATTATTTACTACTTATGTGTGTTATTTGATACATAGTGGTGATAGATATAGGCGTACTTGATTTTATCACATTGAAGACCATGAATGATTTTATTGGTGTTACATAAACCTTACATTCAACTTATCATATAACAATTTCATATAAATGCACTTATTGCATATGAGTACATACACTTACTGTTATGTATGAACACACAACCATTAAAAGTTCAACTCACCGTATTTTAACTTTTTTTATGGGTATTCACAACACAACCAATGGACGAAATACTTAAAAATTTAGGTTAGGTCAGGTCATTTGTAAGTTGTGTACTAGATAATATGTAGTACTCTTAGAAATAACACTTACTGTTATACAGTGCAATACTTTTTTACAATGTTTCAGAGTTATTGTTGTTAGAAAGATTATAATTATGTATGAATGCGCAACCAATTATACATTCTTCTGTGAGTTTCTTTGTTTTTTGATTGGCTCTTGATTTTAAAGTTAAAATTCAGTTTATCTGTTTACTACGATGACAATTTTAGATTATACTACGATGTAAAAGATTGTATTAATGTTAGGTTAAGCTTTGAGTATTGATTTGACTTTCAATGCACAAAAAAAATGTTAGATATTTAATATTGTACCTACTATAAACTCAAGTTAAAAACAAACATAAGTGTTTTATCATAATGTTCAATACATTCTTTACTTTATTTATAGTGGTGATGATAGATATAGGTGTACTTGATCTTATCACATTGAAGACTCTTTGAAATTAACTTAAACCTTACATTCAACTTATCCTATAAGAATTTCATATAAATGCACTTATTGCACTTGAAGCACATTACACCTAACCAATACAAGATTATATTAAATATATGTGAACACACAACCATTAAAAGTTCAACTCACCGTATTTTAACTTTTATTATGAGTATTTACAACCAATGAACAAAATACTTATACTATTTACTACTGACTGAGGTCTACTCTCCTTTAATTGTAAGTTAGACATGTTTATGATATTTAAATGCTCATATAATTGCATAGCAATGCACTTAACCATGCTACATTACCAAATAAACCATAGATTACCTATGTTCACATAACTGATATTGTATACTTAACATTGTGTTTATACAGTCGAGTGAAAGTAATAATATACATTCTACTGTTGGTTTTTATTAGACGTTGTTACTAATACGTTAGTGCAGCAGTTCTCTTTGAGTATGTATTTTGACGTTCAATGCACAAACATAATATTATATATTTAATTATTTAGAATTATAAATACCTTAATATTGTACCTACTCTAAACTCAACCTAACTTTTAGGTACTTGGTGATGACGCGGATGGAGAGGAGGGCGTAGAAGGAGTGGTGGTCCAGATGGACGTAGTGGAAGGAGTGGAGGTCCAGAGAGAGGACGTGGGTGGAGAGGAGGTCCGGATGGTGGGCATGGAAGTGGTCGACGGTCAGGTGGAGGGTAATGGGGAAGTGGAAGTGGTAGAGAACGTGGAATTGGTGGAGTACGTGGAAGTGGTCAACGACGGGGTGGAGGAAGTGTTGGAGGACGACTTCCCGGAAGAGGAGATTGAGTACGTGGTAGTGGTCGAACTACCCATGGGGTGTGCGCCAATGATTAACCGGCGTGCGGGCGTGACACACCCGCTTCCAGAGCGTCACCACGTGGGCGCGTTGGACAGAGTATGTAGAGATTGTAACGCCCGCCACTTCCGAGACGAGGAAGTGGGCCTAGGTGTTGTACACTTCTCCACGTGTTGTAACAACGGCCAAATGATCGCTGCAGGACAACACGCATTGTTCCCCGTCCCTCATTTAATACAATGTTTGTTTACAGAGAAAACGTTCGAGGGTTCAACAACGCTCTGGCATTCGCTGCATTCACCTGCGACGCAAACAACAGGCGTCTGCCAGGGCGGGGACCGCCGGTGTGGATTGTCCACGGTCAGACCTATCGGACGACCAATAATGAGGTGGCCGTTGACCCGGGAAGTGCATACAACTGTCAGTTGTATTTCTTAGAGTCCGCAGAGGCCAACCACCGGCGCCTTGATGTTGCACGGCGAAGAAATCGTGATGGGATTATTGGACGGTTTGCTGCGGGCCATCAATCCGTACGCAATGGCATTTATGTAAGAAAACTTAAACTATTATATTTATGAACACTAGACGAATGTGTGAATTTCCCCTTAGAGTAAATACATTTTACACATATCTCTCTTACAGTAGATAAAAAAAAAACATTTACCAATATAATAGACTTAATGATGATTTAAAATAATGTATACATAGCAAATAGTTTTCTTAACTTCTCCTTTTAACTCCTCCTTATTAGTTATTTGAAATACCTAAGGTACTAATGATATAACATTAAATACGACATAGGGTTCGCATATTTATGCCACTTTGAAGTAAAACTATCTTGGGGTACATTTAATAATACATTTTATACACATAGAATGTGATTCTCTACGCTTATTACACCTACACACGGTCACACGAATATTTATAAGATACCTTTATTATAGAATATAATAGATTATAACAACTCATCGCTACCAACATATAGAGTTAAATGGATTGGATGCTCGGATGTTTTTATATTTTACTAATAATTACAAATATTTTACTAATAAACAAATCCTACACTACAATTAATACACCAATTATTGTTGTTTAATACATTTTAGGTAAGATGATTTATTCTCCTTTGTACCTACAATTATTTGTACACATCATGGAGAGTGTTTATAATATATAAATATATTCATGGCCATATTCGTTTCAGGTACATGCGTCAGGTGTGGCAGGCAGAAAGAGCCCGGGCCGATCCCGCAGCTGTGCCACCTAGACCGGTCAGAATGCATTTCGTTGAAGATGCGGCCCGGGATAGGGGCCGAAACAACCTGCCTACCGCAAATGAAGTTGCGGCCGTGTTCGTAGGTGAAGGTGGTCTTCCTCCCAGACAGATCGATCTGGTTGTCTACGACACCAATCCGATCGGCCAGCAAAACAGGACGCAATTCATACGAGCGGGTTAGTTAATAAATATTTAACACTTACCATATTTACAGTTACAATTACGTCCCATCATATAGAATCATAGCTTTACTAAATTATACATTTTGACCAATTCGAAACCGACTTCGACTGTAATAAGACAAAAGCCATTGCATTGTTATACATTTAGTGTACAACTCTCATCACATTACTTCAATGCTTAATTCACTGTTCTTTTATTTCATAACTATCAACGGTTAGAATTATTATCACTTGGTATAGAAATTAGCCCACCTTAAAGTTCATATTTTAGATTATTTTATAAATTACCTTCCTTTTGCGGTTCTACAAAACATTATGTACATGCTATACGCACAAAAGAATCATAACAATAAATTCATAATTCACAGTTGAATTACATCCCATCATATAGAATCATGGTTTTAATTGTACCTTAAATATCCAACCACGCTTACATATTCACTCATTAATTAGCTAAAAACCGAGATACATAATAATACTTATTAAATTAACAGTGTACATTCATTGTGTTGTTGTGAAACAAGCCATTACATTATTATCAATTCAAAACGACGTGGATAGGCTTAATACCTATCACATGTCTCATCAATTTTCCTCCTAATTATATTTACCGGTATTTTGTGGTATGTAGGTACTTGCTATACACACAACACAATCATAATAATAAATAATAAATAAATAGATATAAATAGTTTTGATTTCACAGTATATAATATACTTAATTAATAACTAATAGCACTTACGATATTATAGCCGATCTCAGAGTTAATATTTTCTACACATTATTTCATACCTTACTTTGGCAGTTCTACACACAACACAAACGTATCTCCATTAACTAACTCTCAGCTACTACTACGACCTTTGGTTTAGCAATTAACTTAAAATTCATTATATTTCTCAAGGGTCTTGTCACTCGGATCCCATGTTGTATCCGCTGTTTTTCCCGTACGGCGAGGCCGGTTGGCATAACGGGATGTTGCAAGAGGGCCCTCGACGAAATAATGTCCGCACTCGAAACACTATAAGACAGTTTGCCTGCTTCCGTTTGGCCATTCGATATGAGGGGAATAACGATACGAGGCACCTACTGTTCAGTGCATTACATCAAGGCCGGTCATTGTTTCACCAGTTCGTGTGCGACCACTACGTTCAGATGGAAACTAACAATCTGAACTACATACGTGAGCATCAGGGAGAACTCTTTGCCGAAGCGTATCAAGGGCTCGTGGACCATGTGAACGAACGCCTCATCATCGATCCTATGGCGGTCGGCCGTAGGGTCATTTTGCCGTCGACGTTCGTGGGCAGCGACCGATACAACAAGATGTGTTATCAAGACGCTATGGCCATGGTCCGTAGCAAAGGGAAGCCCGACCTGTTCATAACGTTTACGTGCAATCCAAGGTGGCCGGA